CTGCTGCTGCTTACTGCAGTCCATGTTCATTTCCATTAGAAGGGTAAGTGTAAGCCCATGCATCTTAAATAGGAAAACATTTTTTTAAATGGAAAGGGTTAAGGGGAAGGACAGGTTTGCAGAACAAAGTGAATGTGGGGGCATTAAAAACCAACAAAAACAGTAGCTAGAGGCACTTTTTGAATACTAGTGTCCTCAGGATCCTAGAACACCGGTGAAGTCAAGATACTGGAGGAGGTCTTGCTTTGGATCCTTTCCAGCTGTTGTCACAAAAACTTAGGAAACTGTTGTAGCAAAAAGATCAACCAGTTTTAAAACTCTACTATAAATTTGCTTTCATTTTCTTTGGATGTATTAAGTATCTCTGCCTGGAGTTTGTGCTTCTGAATAGCCAGTTTGCTGCGACTCTATTCAGACTTTTAAGGGCAGCAGAGAGATGGGAGCTGCTTGGATTCTGCTGTTGTCCTGGGAAGGGAAAAGGGAGAGTTTAAGGCATCCCTAATCACTACAGCAACTATTGAACTTGATATTTCTATACAACTTGATGGCTGAGATATTTGTAAGACTTCTTTTTCATCCCAGCATATTTAATCTAAAAGGGACTCCTAACGTGTGGTACAAGCATGTGCCTATACCAACTACATATTCTATGGGGAAAGGATTTTCATTTTTAACTATTAAAGAATTTTGTCAGATCCTGCACCTCAAAAAGTGAGGGGGAATTATTATTGCTAAAAACTTTGTATGGATATGAATTAGTCTGTATGATGAGAGCATGTGTGCATGCGTTAAAGATCTTGCAGCGTTTTAAATATTTTAGAAATATTTGTGAAGGTTTTCAACAGAATTTGATTATTTTAGGTAATTTAAGATGCTTCAATGCCACATGGAAACCGCATGGGTTTTGACTGCGACAAAAAACATTGTATGTATAAACACATTGCATGATTTCTGTTGTCCTGTTTGCATAGGAAGTGAATGCCATTCCTGAAGAGATGCTGAGCGATGTTACACTTTACTTTCTGTACGTTAACAGGCTCTTCAATAAGAGTCAGAACAAAATAAGGTTGAATATTCAGTATTTGAATGGATATCTTCTGTGCTGGCTAAAACTGAAACTTTAAAATTTCAGGGAATAGGAAAATGCCTCCCTCTCAGAAGACTCCTGAGAATTCTTTGTTTTGTTTTGATTTTTGCCTTTTTCCTTTGAGATGCAGCTGCTTTCTTCACTTCACATGTATTTTTGTGGAATGCACTTTTTTTTGTTTGTTAAAGCTCTTGTGATTCAGGTTGCGTTGCTTCGCAGAAACATGTTTTATTGTGGACCCTCATCCAGTTTTCATCTGTCCCCGCAGCTGTATAGCCTGTGGAGGCTTTCTGAGCTCTGCAGCTGTGGAGGCAGGTCAGGAAGGAGAGCCTTCATCTTCATTGTAGCTGCCTAAGTCATGTCAGCCGTACATGTCTGCACAAGCCTGTCCCTAGGGACAGAGCCTGTAACTGTATCAGGCCTGATGACAATATAGCAGGAACACATTTGTGCTTCTGGGAAGACTGGTGATACACGAAGCCTGCATAGGGGGATAGTTTTTTCTGGCTCACGGTCAATGAGACAGGAAAGACATTTATTTTAGACTTCTTTAAATCTCCTGGCATATAGCTGAAGCAAGGAAACTGGTCAGGGAACAGGGGCTCCTGGGAATCAGTGGCAGCAGATCTTTTGCCTGCTACCTTCTTCTCTTTCCTAAAAGAGGCTGGGGGCTCGTCTACCACCATTTAGTCAGTGATCTTCTGATCCCAGAGACTGTCTGGGAGTTGTTGCCACCATCACCTCAAAATAAGGCCAGTCTCAGCAGCCTCTGCCATTAGCAAGAAAACAAGTGGGAACACTTGAGGATCTGAAGTATATGTGAGGTGATTTCTTGCAGATGACAGACTTAGCTCCACAGAGGCACTTGGAGAAATGCAAGTAGTGATGTGAAGTTAGTGTAACAAAGTGTGCCCAAGTGCCTTTGGGAGGAGAGAAAACTGATTCACATTTACTTTCTTGGGGCCTCCCTGTGTATGAGCTGTGAGTCAGAAGCAGTGAGATACATCTTATTAGTTCTTTTCTGCCTCTTCAGAAATGAACCTACACCCAAAATGCCATGTGTCCAGGTTAAGTGTGGTAAGTGTAATCCACCTGTGTGAGAGAGCAGAGGCTGTTTAGGCGATTGTGCAACTGTTATTCATAGCAGAGTCACAGTAGCAAATTGTAGACAGCTCTATCCAGTGTTCTGGACCAAACGCCTTTTCTCCAGAAAGGTTGTTCATGTCACATATTGTTTGTTTAATGGCTGTCAGTAAATAAACTTGGGAATTAATAGAAGGCTTAATGGGCCACATTCCATCATTCTTGGACATTCACATGATGTGTGGATCTTCATTTGAATGGTACTTTTTTTTCAGCAGCTGGATGGTATGAAGAGTCACTTCATCTCTTTTTGGAAGTGACCATGTACAATTCTTCCTATTTCTTTTGGAATTGAAATTGGACTAAAGTTGATTTGTACCCATCTTTGGCTTCATCACATCCCACACAGCCTGCCTGCTCTTTTTGAATGGATGTATGAATCTTGAAAAGTATAGAGCAGTTTTTCACAGTGGCTGAATTAAATCTTGGAGTGCTATATATTTATTCTGCATCCTTCCTCTAAGTTAGAAATTACTAATGCTAAAGCAGTAAGGTCATTATCTGCTATTTCCTGTTGCTTTTGGAACAACTAACTGTCCAAGAAAAACTGTGCACATACAGTACCAAAACATGTTCCAAAAAGGATTGCTCTGCAAAAACAAAGAACTGGATCTAAATTCACTTAGCTAATACCATTATCTCTAGTGCTTTGGAGCTTGATTATCTTTAAGTATTGCATTGGCTAAACTTAGCATAAATCCAGTTTTCAGAGGGGTGCCATGTATGCCAGTACCAAAGAAGGGGAAATATTAAGAATTATAAAATCCATTCTAGATCCTGGCCCGCTAAGGCGGTGTTGTGCTATAACCCCAGCCGGCAGCTCAGGCCCATGCAGTCGCTCACTCACTCCCCTCACAGTGGGATGAGGGAGAGGATTGGAAGAATGAAAGTGAGAAAACTCGTGGGTTGAGATAAAGACAGTTTAATAGGTAAAGCAAAAGCCGCATGCACAAGCAAAGCAAGATGCGGAATTCATTCCCCACTGCCCACGGGCAGGCAGGTGTTCAGCCATCTCCAGGAAAGCAGGGCTCCATCACACGTAACGGTTACATGGGAAGACAAACTCCATCATTCTGAACATGCGTCCTCCCCTTTCTCTTCTCCCAGCGCCTGTATGCTGAGCGTATCGTCGTATGGTATGGAATGTCCCTTTGGTCAGTTGGGGTCAGCTGTCATGGCTGTGTCCCCTCCCAGCTTCTTGTGCACTCCCAGCCTGCTCACTGAAGCAGCAAAGACCCTGGCTCTGTGTAAGCACTGCTCAACAACAACAAAAACATCCTTGTGTTATCAGCACTGTTTTCAGCGCAAATCCCAAGTATAGTCCCATGCTAGCTACTCTGAAGAAAATTAACCCTGTCTCAGCTGAAACCAGGACAGGAGGGCAGAATAAGATTCTGATAACCTCTACTGCTGCTTTCTCTGCTATCAACTCTTTTTCTGTGTCTGCTCCCCAAGGAAAGCTTACACACATGATGAGTTGGTTCCTCATAGAAGTTGTCATTGTATGTATTTATTAAAGTTCTGTATATTTAAACTTCATAAGGCAAAATGTGTATTCCTCTTCCAACTGACACGAAGTAGCTTTTGTTGAACCACAGCCAGAAAACTGAAGAAAACTTATCTCAGTTAAGAGTTATGCTTATGAGGCTGACCTTGTGTATTGGGAATAAATATAACGCCTAGGCATGTTTTTCTCTGTTCTGCAGACTTGGGAAGCCCTGAAGGGATAGCTGTAGATCACCTAGGTCGCAACATCTTCTGGACTGACTCTCAACTGGATCGAATAGAAGTGGCTAGGCTGGATGGGCGCCAGCGTCGCATCCTTTTTGACACTGGCCTGGTGAACCCCAGAGCAATTGTTGCAGATCCTATGAGAGGGTATGGATATGTTGTCAAGAGATATGTGCAAAGCTTGATTGATTTTATTTATTTATTTAACATGAGCATATACTCTGAGTCCATGTTTTTAAGACTGTCTATAGACAGTAATAGAACTATATTTTGCTAAAACAACTAACAAACAAAAACGGAACAATCTACTTGTGTCCTGTGTCTTAGTGGTACACTGGAAATAAAACCTCTCAAGTGCCTGCTAGGTAATACTGTGATGTTTTGTTGAGAGGTTTGTCAAATACTTATTTGTACTGTGCTTTCTGTACATTGTTTGCAGGATGACAAGTGTTGCCCTGACCTAATTTTTTTTTTCCAGGATTACTGGTCTAAAATACTAGATTAAACAATCTTATATTTTCATTTCCATCATGACAGCCCTTCTTCCTGTACAGTGTTCCTTGTTTGAAAACTCCCAGGTGTCTCTTCTGTCATCATTTTCACTTCTGTCATTCAGTTGCCTGAGAAGGTCCTATTAGGCTTCTATTTGAAGATGTAGATAAATCTGTACTTTAAAAATTGAGCCTGTAAGCTGCAGTCACAGAAATAGCCAAGCAGAATGTCAGTAGGAAAGTGTAAATATTTTCAGGTTATGGTTCCAGCCTGCAAAAATGGAACTATATACATACTTCTATGTAGTCTTTGATCTGTTGACATTTTCTCTCTCTGAATATTGGAAGAAATACAAGGAACATTAAAACTACTGCAGAGTCCATTGCATGTCTGTTCATTAATGTCTGAACTTGCTGCTGTTGTCCTGGCGCAACTTTCTGTAGCGTGGCCACTGCTGAGAAAAGACATTTCAGTCAAAATACTCCAGAAAGGAATGCATGTGGTCCTTGAAAATTTGAGTGATACAAAATTAATTGAAAAAAGTAATGGTATTGACTTCTCTCATTCCTTTAACATAAAATAAACCATTACATAATAGTCACATAATAGTGGGGTGAAAACATCTGTGGATGCACATGAAGTGACAGCATAATACAGCAAAATGAATGCACTTCATAATGTGAGAGGAGAGGGACAAGTGTAATCAGACTAAGGAGAGACCTCTGTTCCATGCAGAACCCCACTGACAGAGTAGGGCTCTGGGTTCTTCAGGTCAAGCAGCATGGACTTCTGTCTCCTAACAGATTTTTTGTGTGTGAAGGAGTAAACAACAAAGATGCTTGCGTTGAAGGGCCATGTAAATTCTCAGCCATAGAGAGTGCATCCAAGGAAAAAAACACCACTAACAAATGGCCATTATTAATAAAGCATCAGTGAATTAGTGGCCCTCTCTGGGGTTCTCCCCTGACCATAAACTACTCTGATTCCATTGTATGTTGCTTGCTTGCTGCACTGAAAAGAAAAAATGTAGTTTTGAATGAATCCCACAAATGTATGCCAAATGCTCCTGCTGCTTAGCCTGAGCTGATGTGATGGGTGGTGGTGGTAACTGTAGACATACACTTTGAGTGGTCCTCAGAACTGTTGAAAAGGAGGTCTTTTTGCCTGGCATCTTGCACGTAAACTGAACAACGTAGAGAAAGCATTTATTCTCATGTGTGTTCTTGCCTTTTCTGTTTTGTTTAATGGAAGTACAACATTTGCTGCATCTTTACTATACTTTTGTTACTTCTATATCAAAGTGCAATGTGGTCTTTATTTATTTATTTAAATGATTTAGGGGGTGTGCACGTTACTTTTGTGTCCTTAGCATTTTCCTTAATTACAACAATCTTTTGAGATCAGTCACTGTCTTAATTCTTACGTTTTTCTTCCTCTTAAGAAACTTGTACTGGACTGACTGGAACAGAGAAGCTCCTAAAATTGAAACCTCATACATGGATGGCACAAACAGAAGAATTCTTGTTAAAGATGATCTTGGGTTACCAAATGGTCTGACATTTGATCCTTATTCCTCAATGCTGTGCTGGGTAGATGCAGGTAAAGAGGTGCTAAAATCTTTCTTCAGAATAGTAGTAGAATAAGTATGTCTAATCCTGAAATTATGCACAGCTAATTAGTGTTCATAGCTCTTTGGGCTGCGTCTTAGACTTCATGCCTTTCTTTTTGGCTCTAATAATCTCTTAATTTATTTGTTGTTACTACCACAGTGGCATTCACATGAGACTGTGTGCAAGCTGAAAAATTTCAATTCTGATCACAAAACTTTCTAGGAATGCAACAGGTTTATATCTGTGTATCTTGTATGTAGCTATCTCTTTAGGTAGTACTTAGGCCTTTGTAGAAGAAATTACAAGTTTAAGACCAGGAAAAAACACCAATTCACCTAATCCAGCCCTACAGAATGTCATCTTGGCACAGAATGTCTGGCTTATATTTGACTGAAGCAAGTCTTGAAAAAGAAATTTGCACTAGATTTAAAGATCAAAGGATGAAGGTTCTGCCACCATCCTGTTGTTAGTTTTGTGCCAGTGTCTTACCAGTAAAAAAAAAGGTGTGCTTTTAATCCTTATTTGAACGTTTTGGGTTTTTTTCCATCTTGCTGTCTTTCTCACTGTAGACTCTGCCAGAGATGATCTCCTGTGGAGGTGCTTTTACACTTCAAGTCACCTTTCAAGTTTTTGATAAACTAAAAAGATCAAGCTCTCTTTTTCACTGTAAGACACTTTCTCCAACCTTCAAATATATCTCCTTGTGCTATCTTTCTTCTCTTTTTCTCTCTTCCTCTCTTGTTCTTGCTTTTGTCTCTTTTCTTTTTTCCCTAATTTTGAAACCCACTACGTAAGAGAAACCTACAGGTGTTTACATTCATTAGCAGTGTTTCCAATGTGTGTAGTAGCTTTACAGCTATACCTTTTTACACCCTATTTGCATCTACAAGTTAGATCTTCTTCCTGCAGTCTTGCCTTCATGGCCCAACCCAGCAAGAATTTTGGGAACATGCTGAGCAAACTAACTTTGCAAAAATGCCTTCCAGAGGAGGTGGAACTGGTTAGTGGTTGAAGTAGCCCTCTGGAATGGAGGAGACCTTCTGTCAGCTTCCACACCAGCCTGAGGATGCTGGTATCTGTAGCAGGAATCTCAGCATGTGAGCAATGGCCATGGCTGCACTAGACATCTGTGTTCCTGTAAGTTAGGTGGTGTGCTGATTAGCATTAGCACCAAAGTACTGTTCCATCCAATCTTCAGCGCACGCAGAGATGTGGCATGGGGAGGGCTTTGGCTGAGCAGCATACCGAAAGATTTCCAGGACGTTTTACTCTGTTCATGCTTGCATAGTAACACTTGTCCTTCATCCCTCATGAGAGCTCTCTTGCTCTGGTTCAAAGGCTTAATTGTTTCACTACATCCAGGTACCAAGAAGCTGGAATGCATGAACCCTAATCAGCTTGGTCGACGCAAGGTTGTTGAAGGAATTCAGTATCCTTTTAGTGTTACAAGCTATGGGAAGAATTTATACTACACAGACTGGAGAAGGTATGTTATCTGCTAAAGAAATTATGGAGTGCTTTAATCTGTTCTTGTCCCTGGTAGAAGCTGAAGTATATATTGCATTTCTCATGTCTGACCTCTCACACATTCCTGGGTTTTTTTGCTTTCCTGGCAATAGCTGATGCAGGGTGGAGTGGGTCTGTAGACTTGACCTATTGATGTTGCCAGTTAACTGAGTTTTCATTTTCAGCATTTGTCCTCTAAGAAAATGCTTTTAACACTGAACATTTTTTGGGAAAGGAGTGGGAGCTAACATGTTTCCCTTATGGCTGTACTTGCTGCATTGTGAGGGCAGAAATTAGTCACTCATGGCTTTCCATGCCCTATATTATCTGAATGTTCAACCAGAAATAAGAAAAAAACATTTTTACTGTCTTGATGACACTTTCTTTATTGCAAATGATCTAAAACATTGACATATGATCAAGACTTTAGTTTACTGTATTTTCCAGAAAAAAATCCAGTCCATGCATTTTAAAGATTTGGTTTTCCTTGACATAAATGGTTGTGTGGGCTCTATCTGCAAACTCTTACACAAATGACTCTATCAATTGCAGCAGGAAGAGCTATTAATGTGTGTAAGGATTTCCAAGCTAGAACCTAATAGCTGGGAAATGCTATTCTAGAATATGAAACATTCTCTAAATGAGAAACAGTGTGTTACAGGTCTGTCAGTTGACTGCCCTTTTATTTTTAGGAAGAAAAGTATACTCATGACTAGCTATATTCCTTCCAGATATCAGACTCCACCTGAAATACAACATTGTCCATAATCATTATGCATAATAGATGCAATATCAGCTATACCACAGAAAACGTCAGAGGGACAGAATATGGAGAATGTGTCAAAACTGCTAACAGATGCGTTCCTGTAGAGACACATTGTCCTGTGTTGGAAGTACCTTCAAAATTAGTAAGGTGGCTCCCTGCTAAATTTCTTAGCTGCCTAGAATGAAGGTTGTGACATATTTTGAGTTGTCCAGGAAAGATGAGGTCTTAGACGATTTTGCTTCGGCCATTGCATCTTAATTGTAAAAAAGAAGCAACTTCAGATTTCTTCCCTTTCCATTTGTTTGGTTTGGTTTGGTTTCCCCTGTACCTCCACCTTCATCTCACTTCTGTATATTCTCTTCTGCATATGGCAGGGATGCCGTTGTAGCAGTGGATCGCACAATTTCAATAGAAAAGGATAACTTCCAGCCTCACAAGCACTCCCGTCTCTATGGAATCACTACAGCTTTTGCTCAGTGCCCAGGAGGTAATCCAGATGATTCTCAAGTTTTTACAGCTGTGCAACACCTTGGTGTATAAAGCAACTTAGTAGCAGCTCCCATTGACAGGCTGCCAACTGGTCTAGGTAGTTAGTGAAGAACTGGTTAGAGCTTAGGTTTCTGTTTACTAACAAATTAAAAGCCACCTAATTTTATTTTTTATTTATTTTTTTTTTTCATAAAAGCAGTTGTGGTTGCTATATGAAACCAGAATATGGAAGGAAGAAAGGGCCTGTTCTATCCTTATGTAAGGACAAGTGTATGATCAAGTGAGGATCTGACACAGAAAAAGCTGCTATGTTGTCATCATCTAAATAGAATGCTATATTCATGGCTAGGGCCTTATTTGCTTAAGTTTAAACTACAGAAATATCATGGCCTTCCAGATGTCCTTAATGAGTTCCAGTGTTTTTAAAAAGGGAATGTTCAGAAAACAGCAGGTGGTAGAGTGGCTGGGCTGGTCTTTCTGCTCCATTGAATGTTAATTTTTTCAGATACATTATTGAAAAGCCCCTTGTGAAGCTTAGAAGAGAGGAAGTTGATACCCTTGAAATAACAATTTGTTCTTTGGGAAGCAATATCACTGTTCAGTTATGTTGTTCTTAGCAAATTACAGTGAGGAGAAGAGTTCACTTTTTTATTATTACAACGTGGCTGGAATTATAGGAGTTGTGCTGGTTTTCCTTTAGGCCTAAAAAACCCCTAAGATAGTTTTCTCTTCAAATTATTCAATCTATATAGTAAAAAACATAATTTACTTTAATTGAAAGCTTTGTTCACAGCTTAAAAATGCATATATATGTCATAGTTACAAAATCAGTAATGTTGTTATTACTCATTAATTCACAGTTCCATTTTGGTAGGCAGTGTAAAATAAAACAATGTGTGCTCTGAGTAAATGCTTGTGCTTATAATATTCAGAACCTTGGTATCATTTCTTTCTCATCATATGTCTCTTTCAGGTGTTTTTCTGGGACAGATGCCTTTCCCCTCAGATCCACTGTTTCCGGCACTGTCTTCTCTTTCATTTTACCATTCAACATTAATGTGCTCCTCCCCATCCACCCAATTTTTTTGTTTTCATGGGACATTTCTCCATGTTTTTGTAATGAGTGGTATCCAGGGATGATGTTCTGTAGCATTTTCAACTTTGTCCCCACATGTTGCACTTTCTGTATTTCCTCACGCACTGTCTCTTCATTCTAATGTTTGTGACTACTTGGCCAATTTATGATGGGCATTTCAGGAACAGTCCAGTTTTTTCGTGTTGCCTTTCCAGCTCTGTCCCAGTATATTCATCTTTCTTTGAGGTGAATATCAGAAGCTGACACAAGGGATATGATGACTCTCATCTCCCCAAAGTATAGTTTTGTTTCACACTCAATCTCATTATGGCTTGTTTCTCAAGTGTAGTCATGAAACCTGTACTTCTTTTGTATGTACATGTTTTGGATTTTATTGTGGTTTTGCTTTTGTTTTTCTTATGTTACATCTCTGTTCTTTTCCAGGACATAACTACTGTACAGTGAACAATGGCGGTTGTACTCACCTCTGCTTGGCTACCCCAGGAGGCCGTTCTTGCCGCTGCCCTGACAACACAGTTGGAGTGGATTGTATAGAAAGAAACTGAGCATTAAAATAAGCTTTAGAGCAGGGGACGCCTTTTGGAAACATGCTGTAAACAATTCAGTCTTATCAACAAAATCAGGCCCTAAAGATAAGTGCTCCAAGCTACTTGACAGCAAGCCACAATACGCACATGCAGACACACACAGAGGCAATGACTGTAGCAATTAGGCAAGACAGAGCTGCCCAAGTTAGGTCCAACTGCATCTTGTTCCTTGTAATATTATCTCCTTGCTTTTAAAAGTAAATGTGGAGGCCTTAATTGCACCTGTGCTGCACTAGGAGGGGGTGTCTCTTGGCAAAATGAAAGTAACAAATCCTGAACAAAGAGGATGGCGTGGCTCAGATCCTGAGACTGAGTTGTACCTTGGAGCATGCAGAAGTTTTATTTACATAGTGGCATGCTTAGCCCATCATATATGTGGCTGGGCCATATCTCTAGCTGAGAAGCAACCAGGGGGTCCCTAGGATGAATAGATGTGGGTGGGAACACCCGGTAATGTCACAGATTTAATGCCTAACTGCATTCCTTCCCACTACCAGTCCTTCCACTTCCAAAACTTGAATCTCAACTTTTGACTCTTGTGTTACGGAAACACTTTATCTATGTGCTGTGAGGCTAGTTCTCACCCTGGCTCATGTGATCCTTTCCCACAGCATGTGATTCTTTATAGATAATCAGCACTGCTTAGTGGATGTATTTGAAGTTTTTGTTGGATTTTAAGAGATTTATTTTTCTTCTGTTTGAGGTGGATTCCTGAGTAGTTTCCTGAAGTCCACCAAACAAACTTTAGATATAGATCTGAATTGCTGATAGTTCATCAAAGAATGGATGTTGATTCATTTGGAGGTGTTTGGTTTTAGAGACGCACAGTCACATTTGTTTCCTGAGAGCTTTTAAAATAATATTTCTGTGTTTGATTCTGTAAGCCTGAAAGTGGTCTTTGAATCCTATCCTAGACATCTTTCTTCTTTAGCAAACCATGCCCTGCCTTTTCTGAGACCGTGAGAAACCATGGCAGTTAAAAATCTGATTTCCAGAAGGGTCACCTTTGTCTTGGTGCTTAAAAGAAAAAAAATGGTGATGCCCCATTTGTGTGCCTATGTTTAGTAACAGCAAAAAGGTGTGCTTGAAAATGAAAACAGTGAGTTTGGAATGGGGAAGAAAAATCAAAATGCATGTTCTTATGTCAAATTAGCAGTACAAATCTGGGAGTGAAGTTTGGCTTCCACACTGTGTGTTGGGAAGGAAGCTTTACCCACAAGCCAACCTGCAGCAGCAGAACAAAACTGGGCTTGTGAACCTTCTGCCAGAACACATTTCACAATGTCATGATCAGAGCAGTAAGCTAACATCTCCATTTCCTCACTCCCTCTTCAGACACTACAGTAACAGTTTTAACAGAGCCAATTCTGAGTCTTAACTGCGTGACATCTTCCTCTTTAACTGTATATTTATCATAAAATAACAAACCATATAAACATTTTAAAGATTTTTTTAATAACTTTTTATTCATTTTATTCATACACTTAATCAGGTATCTCTTACTGTAAATAGAAAAAAATATGTTGAAGGTGCTTGATAACTCTTTCTCCAGAATTATTCGTGTATCTGGTGAAATATTAAAGTTTACACTCTGTACAGGTATCTACAGTACAGTCAATAAAATCTTTTGGTTTTTATTTTCTATAAAAAAAAAAAAAGCCATGCCTGTAGAAGGAAGTGATATGTGGTATTTAAAATCTCTTTTCCTGTTGAGTTCTGGGTTTTCACTAACTCTCATGTCTAGTGATGATACTTCTCTTCTAAGATGCAACACTAGAGGGGAAAAACTGCTGTTGGGGGTTTTGTATTTTGAAACCAGTAGGATACTTTTATTCAAAACAAAGATGCAAGAGCACTTAAAGAAGATACAGCTTCTTCTGTTTTGACACAGACTTTTTACTGGTTGTTAACTCTTGTTTATCTTTGTCAAGTAAGCATAATTCAGTTATACCACACTTCAGACTTCTATGCTAGTGGAAATACAGGACGAGGACTAGATTAAATGGGGGACAGAATTTATCCCTCTGCTTGAAGATGACGTGGTGCTGAGGTGACAAAGTTCTTTGCTGCCTGGTGCCACAGCACACAGGCTCTCTGTGTGGCTGCAGGGCAAGATGCAAGCGAAGTGAAGGGTGGCTTGTTGAAGGTGGTGATGCTGAGATTTAAACTCAACTTTTACGGCTACAGCATGTCAGTGCCTCAGAGAGGATGGCAAAAGGCTCTGTAGTACTGTGTAGCTCAACAGCTGGAGAACAGTGTGCCTGTCAAGTGAGCCACTGGAAAGGTGGAGAGTGGGGCAGCAAGGAGAGCTACTGGGGTCTGAAGGGTGGTGTGTGGAGTTAGAGGAGGAGATTGGGAACGGAAAATGGAATGTTTTATTTTAACAGTAATCTTTTATTATTACAATAGGCTAGGGCTGGTAATCATGTCAGTCTCTGGTTGAAGAAAAGATTCAGTGTAACTACAGTTCACCTTTTTTGCTACAAAAAAATAGTATATTCACAGGTTTTTCAGGAAAGGAGAACAAATGTTTCAGTGGTTAAACAAAAGACAAAATACCTCTTAGATTTATTTCAGAGGTAATTTAAATAGGATAGGATAGAATCGTTTCAGTTGGAAAAGACCTTTAAGGTCATCAAGTCCAACCGTTAACCTAGCGCTGCCAACTAAACGCGTCCCTAAGTGCCACATCTGCATGTCTTTTAATTACTTCCAGGGGTGGTGACTTAATGTGTTCCAATGATTGATAACCCTTTTGGTGAAGAATTTTTTTCCTAATATCCAATCTGAATGTTTTCTTAAATGCTTCCATTCAGATCTTCTAGCACATACAAAAATATTTAGTGGTAAGACCATTAGTGATGTTTATCAATGATGTAATAAGTTGGAAAAAAGTGAAATTACTGATAGTAGTACTGGCTTCCTGATGACTTAATGGGGTGGTTCAGCCACTTTTCTGTCTGAAGGGTGTTTGAAAACCCCAACTTTACTCACTTTTTAACCTGTAAAGAACTCTCTTCTCATAGTGAAAATCCAGCGTGGCTTTTTGAAACCCAGCGTTCTGTCCAGTGTTGTTCCAAGCTGGCAAACTGCTTACTCTGCAGTTCTCCAGTCACACAGTTTTGTCACAACATATTAGATTTTTAACTTGCAGGCATATAATTAAGAATGACAGATGATTGCTAGAGGATAATGGCCCATCAATGGCAGTGTCACAATGCATCAGTTTAACCTATGGTTAAATGCACACTGTTTTTTGTGTAGTATTTCATAGTGTATTGCTTGGAGATCTTGCTGAAAAAAAAAAAAAGCAGGATATGAAACACATATGGCTATAGAGAATACAGTTGTGAGAAGCCCCCTGCTTGGCCTGTGTGTAAGAACTAAATAATACCTCCAGAACCTGAGTCCCCAGCTGGGGATCTGCCAGCAATTTGTTCATTAAGTGATTGAATCACCTCCTTTGTTTAAATTCTACTCCACTTGAAATCTGTCCTTTATTTTATTTATAAGTTTAGGACAGCATGTCAATAAAATAGGTGAAAGGTCAGGATGTTTTGTCCTAAAACTGTACATATTGATGACTCTGTAGCTTTGCTTGACTAACAGAAGGCTCAGTGGAATTGGAATGCAATGAGCAGGTTCTCTGCTGCTTTGTGGCAAAGCAGGTGACGCTGCAGTAACTTACTGCTCTTTTTTCCAGAAGGATTCTAGAGTTGATGAATGGGGACAGACTGCCATTCCCACAAGGAACCAGGATGGTGTAGTTCAGTCTCTGGCTTCTTTGTGTTGAGTATTCACCAGAGTTCATGCAGTTTGTGGTGGTGTTGCTCTGGGCAGGCAGTGTTCCCTACCCAATGGGGTGTCTAAGCACACAGGAAGCACACAGAGGAGCCGCATAGCACAGGGCCTTCAACATGGGGAAAATGGCCTGCTGTACAGATGCTGGTGGGGCATGCCAAGTGGCAGCTGTGGATCTGACCCAGGAACTTGCACAGCAGCATTGGGAAAGAAAGGGGAAATGTGGAAGGGAACTGAAGAGGAAGATTTTGTGGCAGTGGATGCAGATGTGTGTGCAGTTTGGGAGGTGGGGGAACAATTAGCGTGATGGTGGTTGTACTGTGCTTTTGTGGTCTCCAGTTAATTCAGCAGTACGCTGCTGGGGATAGGGTGAGGGAGACTAAGATGCAGAGTTGCTGAGTTATAGTGGATTTTGGAAACCTTTCCAGTCTTTTCCTTTCCCGCTAGAACCAGAATATCCTACTGACCACAGCACTCTTTTTTTTCAGGCACTGTGGGATAACCTGTGGGATCCCAGATCCAATTCTGTTTGAGGACAAACCCCAAGAGCACAACATTTTGTTCTTCCCACCTCTCTTCCCTGCTTTATGCAGATAAGAAACCTAAGCAGATAAGCCGGAAGGGAGCAATAGTGCGGTCCATCCAGCTGCCTACCAGAGGGAAGGCAGGCATGGTGCCAAGCACGACTGCCCTCATTCCTGAGACAGCCCCAGGTACCCTGGTGAGCCACTGCTGGCATTTCATGGCACAGCTCATCTCTCAAGTTGGTATTATCCAAAAAATAATAATAATCCAATCCCAAAATTATTTCTAATCCTCACCTGCACTACCTCTTCCAGGACCAGATCCTCTAGCTATGACTTGCTGTGCACATTAACTGTACACAAAGTGTGTCACAGGGGTCTGTTTAATAACAAACAGCAACAAAGGACTAGTCTGCTAACAAGCTGCTAAACCTATCTGTCAGCTTCAATCCAAAGGTCCCTGGTGACCCATTTGTAAGCATAAGATTTTTTTCCCTTGCATTGTATTACAGTCTGTCGTCTTAGTTATTAGCCTTTGAGCAGATGTAGCTCATGTATTTTTAAGTGATTGCACTGTAATTAATTATTTATCTTTGTGGCCTGTTGTCCTTTTAAACATACACATATGGAGAAACAGCAAACCACACAGCTAATTTCATTCTCTTCCAGGCAGAATATCCTTCTAGGCTCTTGGCTCCCAAGTGTCAGTGCAACCATGACACTGATTTTTCAGAACAGCAAAAGACTGATGCGCCGTTTCAGTTTCTGTGCTCATATGCCTTGTAACTCAACTGTCATGCTGACATGGTACGCTGACAATTTTAGCTGACCTTAACCTGCAGAACCAATGGCTTTTACTTTACAGTTGTTTCAGCCTAAATGCTGGCATGTCTGCTAGAT